TGTTATCAAGCAAATGAAAGTATCAATCAACAAAATTCATCTTTGCAATGCAGAGGAAACAGAAGCTGCTTCTGAAGTGGCATTTAGATGCATTTACACATGCAGAACTGCAGAACATGAATACAATTAGCCTGCAGTTACACCTGCATAAATAATATTTTAATATTGTAAACATTAAATACTGATATAAATTAAAACTGCCAGCAGGTGTCAGCAAGTCACTGTTAATAAGTGAGTCATTGTGATTGAACCAAATCATTTAACAAATGATTCATTCAGGAACGAAACGCCCTCATGTTGCTCAGAGACGCAAAACAGCGCTGTGACTGTGCTTGGAATTATTTTTGTTGGCGAAATAGAGCAAAAACAGGCAATATAGTGTCTAAAACGTAAGTCTCTTAATATTAACTTCCTTTTTTTTATTGAAGTTGTATAAAATCAATATCACGTTTGTAATCATGCTGATTTTTGAAGGAAACAGCACTCTTCTTGTGATATTGATTAACTATATCAGGGACAGCCAACCCCTGAACTATATGAAATTATGTAAAAGCCCCATATCTTGAATTTTGTGATGCATTTTAATAGACTGAATCATGCCGTGAAAGAACGCACTCTAAATGCGCATGCGCACTAATCTAACCTAATAGACTTCACGTCATGTATGCGTGCACTCTCTGTAGGTGTGTTTTGTTTGGATTTTGCAATATAGTCGATAATGTCAAACGAATGTTAAACAACAATTATGTCAAACATCGTAAAACAACAATTACGAAATGTGTAGATTGTAAATTCGGTTGCGAACGCTGTTACCTGCCTATTTTGAGGTCGCACAGATTAAATTTCGGGAGCATATGCGACCAAAATGGTTGCAATTTCGAGCCTTGCTGAGGCTCTATCTTTATATATAATACGTGGCCCTGGAGCACAAAAGCAGTGTTAAGTCGCTGGGGGATATTTGTAGCAATAGCCAACAATACATTGTATGGGTCAAATTTTTTGATTTTTCTTTTATGCTAAAAATCATTAGGATATTAAATAAAGATCATGTTCCATGAAGATATTTTGTATATTTCCTACCGTAAATATATCAAAACTTAATTTTTGATTAGTAATATGCATTGCTAAGGACTTTATTTGGACAACTTTAAAGTCGACTTTATCTCAATATTTAGATGTTTTTGCACCCTCAGATTCCAGATTTTCAAATAGTTGCATCTCGGCCAAATATTATCCTATTCTAACAAACCATACATCAATGGAAAGCTTATCTATTCAGATTTCAGATGATGTATAAAACTCAATTTCAGAAAAATTGACCCTTATGACTGGTTTTGTGGTCCAGGTATATATAGAGAGAGAGAGAGTTGTTCAAAGTTAATGTAGTCTAACTTAGGCAAGCCTGATTTCCTGTTGCTGCGGTGTATCACTTTTTCTACTTTGAATGTGAGCATTGTTTTAAAAGTTGCTCACACCAAGCAAAGAACAAAAAAGCACACCTGCTTTTGCTACCTCTTTATAGAGAGCATTTTATCAAATATTATCACACAATGTCTAATGCAACTAAACACCACAATAATACAAAATATTCCTGTTTATTCTATCTTTGTACCAATTTTATAAATTTTTTTTCAAGTCAAACTTTTTGACATCCAAACAGTACAGAATTTAAACCATACCCTATCTGTAACAAGCAAACAAATGACACAGCATCAAGTTTTAGTAAAGTAAAGGAGGTTAATTGTACAAAAGGTGTGGGAAGCCTCATCCGAATCCTCATTTAGGGCTGTTCTAGAGAAATCATCCTGAGATCACATGGGTTTTCTCTCCTCTGTCAGTGGGCTCGTCGATGGCCTCGGTGGCTCCTGTGCTGACCTCAGCATCCATCGCTCCCACAAGCCTGTCCCTGAAACCTCTAGGAGCCGCTCCTGCTATAATCGCAGGTGCCCTCTCTTATTCCCACACACTGGCTTTGCTCATTAATACACGCTAAGATAAATACAATGCTCAGTTACTTGTATTGTTTGAGCCTGCGTTTGTGTGTTTTGTAGCTGCTGCTAGCACTGGAGCCACCACAGGCTTTTCTCTGGGACTGAAGCCCGCAGCATCTATTGCACCAGCCACCATCACATCCACCGCCGCCGTCACAACCAGGTACAAAGCTGTTGTGAGTTTTGTGTGTTTTTTTTCTACTGGCGAGTTGCATATCCAAATTCTTGTGTTGTCTTCTGTCAGCACTGCTCCAGTGTTGTCATACGCTCAGCTGGAGGCTTTGATTAACAAGTGGAGCTCAGAACTAGAAGACCAAGAGCGACACTTTCTACAGCAGGCCACTCAGGTCAACGCCTGGGACCGTATGCTGGTGGAGAATGGAGAGAAGGTAGAGAAATGCACTCATCTTTTAGCACACTGCTGCCACATACACCATCTTTGCAACTGGTGCAAAATTTGTGTACACATTCCCATTATGAATTATAACTATTCAAATAGAAGTTAATAGTTAATAGAAAAGCAGGAATCAGGGCTTTGTCGGGACAGCATTCTTGCAATGCACCTGTTTCGGAGAAGAGAGCAAGTATTCAACTTTTTAAACTTCAACTGTAATACTAATGTGTTCACCCACAGAAACAGACACTGCTGCTTATTACCTAACACATTTCCCATTTTGAGTTATGATTATACAGCGTGGTTAGTGGGTCTGTTGGGTTAGATTGCTTTCTCACATAGTTAAACCTGAATCTAGTGTTGATGGCACACTGCCTAAGACCATATTGCAACAGGTTTCCAGTGACAAGTATTCTCCGTTTTGTCTTTTAGATAACTGCTTTACATAAAGATATGGAAAAAGTGAAACTGGACCAACGAAGGTAGTAATCTGTTTTTATTTTTTATTATAAAGTTGTGAAATATTTGAAAGTTATTCACACAACTTTAAAGGGATAGTTCACCCAAAAATGAAAATTCTGTCATTAATTACTCACCCTCATGTCGTTCCAAACCTCCGTTCATCTTCAGAACACAAATTAAGATATTTTGGATGAAATCTGAAAGCTTTCTGACCCTCCCATAGACAGCAAGGGATCTACCAACCTTAATTTTACGAAGCTGAGAATACTTTTTGTGTGCAAAGTAAACAAAAATAACGACTGTATTCAACAATACTTCTCCGCGTCACTCTAACGCCATTATGGAGAGTATCATGACGAATGCGCTGCACCTTGTTTACAAGCAGAGGAGTTCATGCGCATGTGTCGTGATACTCTCCATAATGGCACTAGGGTGACGCCATTTCATATTTGTGACCCTGGATCACAAAACCAGTCATAAGTCGCACAGCAACTGCAAGATGGCTCCGCACATGGCTGCCTCGGTTTGTCGCTCCTTGGTACTTTTACTGTTTTTGTTTGTTTGTCCTGTCTTAAGCAAAGTTTTTCCGATCAGCTTCACTAGAAACGAACTCTTGGACATAAGGAATAGCACACCAGATAACTTTTTGCCGACGTTTGAACATTCAGACGTTTTACTGGACATTTTAGTCGGAGGAGCTGCATTCCTATACAAGCGCTCCAGGCGACGCAAGTGAGGAAAGTGCGCCGGCGCGCTCGTGAAACTCCGTCAGCGCGGTTTTAGGACTCAGCTGCTGAGTATTCATCTGGCGAATCTCCGCTCCCTTGCAAATAAATCAGACAAACAAGGACTTTTTAAACTCCGCTGCGCTCTGCTTCACGGAAACCTGGCTGAACAGTGCCATCCCGGACAGCATGCTTCATCTAACGGGCTTCCAGCTGTTCAGAGCGGACCGAGTCGTCGGGGAAAACGAGAGGTGGTGGATTATGTTTTTATATCAATGAAGGCTGGTGTACAGACGTGACAGTTTTAAAGAAGATGGGCTGACCAAACTTGGAAGCTCTCTTTATTAACTGTAAGCCTTTTTATTCGCCGCGGGAGTTTACCTCGTTTATTCTGGTGAGTGCATAGATTTCTCCTGAAGCGCGTTTGAACGCAGTGCTAGAACTGTTGGCCGATCAAATTACACACACAGAGCAGCGTTATCCGGACTCTTTCATTATCATTCTCTGGGATTTTAATAAAGCTAATCTCACCCGTGAACTGCCTAAATATAGACAGCACATCACGTGCCCCACCAGAGACCGCAATATACTGGACCACTGCTACACTGTTTTAAAGGATGCATACCACTCTGTCCCCCGAGCGGCATTGGGATCACTCTCTGATCACTGTTTGGTTCATCTTCTACCAGCCTACAGGCAGAAACTCAAATCTGCTAAGCCTGTAGTAAAAACTGTAAAGACATGGACTGTTGAAACGGAGCAGGATTTACAGACCTGCTTCGAACTTACTGATTGGAGTGTTTTTGAGGCTGCAGCTACTGATCTGGATGAGCTCACTGACACCGTGACATCCTACATTAGTTTCTGTGAGGACATGTGTGCGCCCACCAGGACTTATTTAAACTACTCTGGAAAGCTAAAAAAAACAGCTTTCAAGTAATGACTCTACATCAGTGTGGAAATGCCTGAAAGCCATCACCAGCTACAAGACCCCATCCCCCAGCACTGAGGCCAGTCAACAACTGGCTGAAGACGAGTTTTACTGCAGGTTTGAAAAGCAAAAGCCTGGTCTGACACCCCACACACACTCCAACCGTCTCACAGCACAGCCATCAACACCCTCCCCCCTACTGTTTCTCAACCTGTACTCAAGATCTGTGAAGATGATGTAAGCAAAGTCTTCAGGAGACAGAAGATAAGGAAAGCCAAAGGCCCAGACGGTGTCTCTCCAGCCTGCCTCAAAGCCTGTGCTGTCCAGCTATCATCCATCTTCACATTGATCTTCAAACCCTGGAGCTGTGTGAAGTACCCTCCTGCTTCAAACGCTCCACCATCATTCCTGTTCCCAAGAAACCAAAAATCACAGGACTTAATGACTACAGACCTGTTGCTTTAACGTCTGTGGTCATGAAGTCATTTGAGAGACTGGTGTTGGCCCACCTGAAGGACATTACTGGACCCTTGCTGGACCCCCTGCAGTTTGCTTACCGAGCAAACAGGTCTGTGGATGATGCAGTCAATATGGGACTGCACTGCACTACATCCTCCAACATCTGGACAAACCTGGGACTTATGCAAGGGTCTTGTTTGTGGACTTTAGCTCCGCTTTCAACACCATCATCCCGGACACCCTTCAGAATAAACTGACCCAGCTCTCTGTGCCCACCTCTGTTTGTCAGTGAATCAACAGCTTCCTGACAGACAGGCAGCAGCTAGTGAGGCTGGGAAAACTCCCATCCAACCCCTGCACCATCAGCACCGGAGCTCCTCAGGGCTGCGTTCTCTCCCCACTGCTATTCTCCCTCTACACAAATGACTGCACCTCTAAAGACCCCTCTGTCAAGCTCCTGAAGTTTGCAGACGACACTACAGTCATTGGTCTCATTCAGGACGGTGACGAGTCTGCTTACAGACAAGAGGTTGAGCAGCTGGCTGTCTGGTGCAGTCTCAACAACCTGGAGCTGAACATGCTCAAAACTGTCGAGATGATAGTAGACTTCAGGAGGAACCCC